CAGGGACACGGGGGGGGGGACACGGGAAGGGACACGGGGGGGACATGCCGGGGACATGGAGGGGACTGGGGACCCGTGCAAAGGACCCAAGGGCTTCCCCGGGCCGCTTCGGCCAGAGGGGCCCTGTAGATGGGTATGAGGGTAAGGGGGACTGTTAAATGTGTGAGTTGAGGGGTGGGGTGTGCATAAGTGTGTGAGTGTGTGCACACCAGACTGCAGTGGAGTTTCCCTCGTGTGTACGTGTGTCAGCATGTCTGTGTGCGCCCCACACTGCAAGATGATCCCGGGGTGCTTGCTCTGGGGTAAGGGTGCCAGGGTGGGAGACAGCTGAGCCCCAGAACAGAACTCCTGCAGCCACGGCACAGCCTGGCACAGCCCGGCAGAGCCCACCAAGCAGAGCCAGAGTGGGATCGATGCAGCCTTAATTGGGGTCTCGTGTCCCCTGTCACTGCCAGGCAGCGCTGGTCACAGCCCATCGAGCGCCTGGGCCCTGGGGAGCCAGGAGGGCACACGCGAGCTCGTGTCCCCACTCGTTACACAGCTCAGGGGGTGGTGTGTGTTGCCATGCTCCCTGGGGGGCTCGGGGACACAGCTGCTGTCACCTGAGTAACCAGCCCTGATCGATGCCCGCTTCCCGCATCCCGCAGGGACTGTAATTGAGCGGGAAGGCGGAGACAGAGGATGTGGGGACGATCCAGCCTACCAGGAGGAGCACTGGATACAGCCTCTGTACCTAGCTGGGGGGAAGGTGGCTGTGGCATCAGTGTGCCACTGCAAGCCCCAGGGATGGGCAGGGGGTTCGAGCCCTCCTCTCAGCCCAAAGGAGCAGGGGTCAGATTCGTGGTGCGCTGTGCTGGGCTGTGGGCAGCCAGTGCTGTGCCTTCAGCCCCGTTCCAAGGCTTGGAACAAGGCTGGATGGGACGCTAAAGGGTGCATGCCCTCCAATGCCAAAGCCACACAGTGCTTGAGTCCCAGAACTGACTGAATTTCTAACCTTGGGGAAGTGGGTGATCTGTGACCTTCTAACATGGGTATCTGTGTATATGTGGACATTGCCCATCACACTGGGCGCTGGCCACAGTAAAGTCAGTATACCCTCTAAACACAGACCAGCACTGTATGCGCAGCCCCCAGCCCCCTCTGCAGCCCCCAGCCACTTCTGCTAATGAAGCCATTTCTAATTGTCGCCTTTGTGGAACAAAGCGTAGCTCTTCCCCTCTGAAGATCCCTCTTCCACAGCCCAGTTATCGATCCCTGGGAAAAAAAGAAGAAAACACAGAGTCTCAGCCTGCTCCTCCTGCCCGAGTGCTCTGCACAGCTCCTCCAGGGAGATGCGGGGGGCCGTAGGGGCTCTTGGGGCACTGGGCCACCCCACAGCTCCCTCCTACAGCCTGGCAGCCCTGTCCAGCTCCCTGTAGGAACACGTCTATAAGGTCAAAGCTTTTTCAGGGCACAGTGGGCTTTGCCCTTGGCAAAGGGCACTGGTAGGGTCCCCAAAGCCATTCAGCCTGCACTGCCAGCTATGCTAACAAAGTACTGGCTATTAGCAGATGTTTCTGACCTAAGAACCTGGTTTGGGACCTTGACTGGGTGTTCCCCGGTGCCTGGGGCATGGCAGTACAACACCCAGCCCCATGCTTAGAGTTGGTGAGGGGCAGGGACAGCCCTCCTGCCTGGGGCAGCTCTGGCACTGCTGAGGCACGACAGGGCAGTGGGTGGCTGAGCCCTGGGGTGCAGAGAGCATCTCAAGGTGCTTTGGAGGCTACTGAGCTTCTCATTCTGCGGTTTGGAAAGTCTCTGGACTTTTCTCTGTGGGGGACGCTGCTACCATGAACACATCTCATCCCTTTGAGTGATCCCTGTAATTGCGAGTGCCAGTTGCAGGCAGTGGTGGGGCTGGGGTTGGCTGCTGCATTCATTATCATCTCACTTTTTAGTGAGCATCACCTGCATTGGTCGATAGGAGAAAGGTGAACCCGGGCAGGCTGAGGCCTGGGGGAAAGCCCGCGGCAGCCTCCTGGATTTCAAAGGCCCCGCATCCGCGCGGCCCACAGATCACTATATCAATTTCTTTTAATACATCCAAACGCCTCTTTCCTGGAGGACCACGCCGGAACGAAGTGCTGATCGACCGCCCGCCTGCCCGGGTGGCGGGAGGCCTGCACGCCTCCCTCTGCAGTG